TAGGCCACCGGGGCCGGGACACGAACCGCGGTCGACTACGTGGGAATCCAGCGACATAGCCATTACGCTAACTGCTGGTTCCCCTGTGCGTTTTGATGACCTTCCAGTTTGTAGATCAGTGGCGCGGCAAGTGCCCCATAGCCACCTCTTCCAATCCTACTGCAAGGTAATGGAGGACCAGAAAGAAAGGACGTGCTTACAGGAAGGCCTCATCTTTCACCGTGCTGTTCAGGCCACACGCAGGGCTCAGAAAACAATTTCCCGCGTTGCAAAAAACTCAAGACTTGGGACCAGCAGTTAGCGTAGTGGCTATGTCGCTGGATTCCCATGTATTCGACTGCAGTTCGAGTCCCGAACCTGGTGGCTTAAACTCGTGCTGGGCGCGTGTGCGTGCATGCCCAAGATCCTGAGAGGAGAATGGAGGAAAAGGGATTGCGGAGTGACCATCCCTGCTGGGGGGTGATTTCTCGCTTTCTGTCTCTCTGTCTCTCTCTGTCTTTCTAGTGAGCGCACGTGCCCTATTTCAAAAACCTCTCAAAAAAAAAAAAAAAAAAAACCTCAAGACTTAAAACCCTGATGGAGCAAGCTAGGTGCCATGGTGGTTGAGTTGGCTAGATCCCACATAATCAAATGCCATGTTGGAGTCCCAGACCTGGACCCTTGAAAAACACACTTGGCCTAAAATCCCTAGAGGAAAATGGAGAACAAATTTCCGGTGGGGGGGGGCACCCATCCTGAGAGGGTGCTTTCTCACTTTCCCCCTCTCTCCAGTGCATGTGTCCTATAGAAAATTAAAAAAAAAAAAAACCTGTGGACTTAGCTTCCAGGCCAACAGAAGGATTTCTTCCCTTTCATGGATCTCTTCCTCAACTTCCTCTTCCAGAAAATGTGAGTGATAGCAACAATGATGACAAATGCCGTCCTCGGTTGGATACTTGTTGTGTACTGAACACGTTGCATCCTCACACACTCTTCCTCTGAGTCTCACACACACCTGGGAAAGAAACTCTCAAAGGTAAATTTTCCATGAAGCTTGACCTTCAGTGCAAGGCCCACCCTAGCCATTGGAAGAGACTTCAGCCATTAATTCGCAGGGGCAAGTTCATGTATTTCTTGTTTTCCTTTTTTTTGGGTTTTGTTTTGTTTTGTTTTGTTTTTGCTAAAGAATGCGTGAACTCGCTAGAGCAAGACAGAGAAAGAGAAAGTGAGAGATCACCCCCCGAGTGGAATGGCCACACTGCAAACCCATGTGCCCAGCAAGTCACCGGGTCCAGGACCCAAAGTGGGGTTGGCCATGTGGGTGTCTGTCCCGACCCAGGGGGACAGCCGAACAGGTTTCCTGAGTGAAGGAGTGAGAGCCGGGACAAGCGGCGTAGTGTTACAGCACAGAGACGACGCAGTGTCACAGCTCTTCAGGGTCGTCCGGAGACGATGTAGTGTTACAACTCTTCAGGGTCTCCCAGGTCGTCTGGCAGTGTCAGCTCTTCAGGATCTTCAGGGTTGTCTGGAGACTCCATGGTGTTTCAGCTCTTCAGGTTCTTCAGTTGTCGTCTTCCTAGTCGTCGTCATCTGGCTACTGTGGGCCAGGCATTATGGTTATATACACTCTGGTGGGTTGTAAACGGTGGGCCGTGATTGGTTGTAAACGGTGGGCCGTAATTGGTTGTAAACAGTGGGCTGTGATTGGTTGCTTTTGGACCAATCATGAGGTGCCAGATATGCAAATTTGAGGGATTCTAGTGGCCAATCAGAGCAAGGTTTCAAAGGTCAGGGTTTTGGAAGGGAACCAATCATGGTAATTGTTTGCTCTCTGAGAAACCTCGGCAGACTCACTCGTGTGCAGCTTCCCACAGGTGTCCAGCACCTTAACTACCATGCCACCTGCTGACTCCATGTATTTCTTCTTTTTAACTAGTAAAAGTACAATTTATAAATTATAATTAGTTAAGATTGCTGTTTCTTCCCACTCCACCCAACTTTTTCTTGAATCAAATGATGTCAGAGAAGACACACAATTTCAGGATCCAGCTAAGGGAAAGTTGTGTTGGGGATACATTTAATTTGGATTTGGCTACTTACAGTCACTTTTGTGTACAGTTAGATGGGACTTAACCCCAGTGTAGGAAGGGCTACCAAGAGGATTCCTACCATTCACTGTGCATCAGGTCCCTCAGTGTGCAGGGCCAGGGTCTTATCACAATGTAAAGGACTCCCAAAACACCTGAAGCAGGTGGGAGGTGGAGGAGAAACAAATACATGCATGGGCCAGAAGGCCAGTCTGCAAAATGTTTTCAATCACCACACGCGTAAACTGCTATTTCATATTTGTCTTTATTTATGACAGAGAATGTGCATGCATGTGAGAGAGAAAATATGGCACAGGACATCTTTGACAGGGTTTGGTCACACAGCAGTCCCCTCCTCTGCACAGTACTGAACATGTTCCTCGTCTGCCAGATATTTGAATTGTGGTCAGCCTTATGGATTTCAGCTAGTTTAGCATGTTACCACTTGCACCACTGAGGTTGGATCAATTGTCATTTCATACTGACTCTAACTCAAAAAGAAAGTTTTCCACATGTTGAAATATCCACTTTGTAAACTAAATAATGTGATTGAATGTGTAAAAGAAAATGAAATGTTTAAAATGTAAAGAAAAAAAGTTTTCTCCTATAAGGAGTATGCAGTTGCTACACTTCGAATGTGTCCCCCAATCAAATGCATGTGTTAACATTTGGTGAGCCGTTGTAACTGTGTTGGAAGGGTATACACTTAATCCAATTACTGGGTTGAAAGATAGGTCTTTTGGGAAGTGATTAGGCATCAGTATGGAGCCTCTACGGTTGGATCTTTGCTTTTATAAGGAGACATTGACAGATATAAGTATATTCTTTGCTGAGGCTCTTGCCATATAATGTTCTGTGCTGTCTTGAGACCCCCCACCAACAAGAAGACCCTTGCTGAATGTAGCCCCTTGAACTTGAGCTTCCAGAACCATTAGCTAAATAAAGCCCTATTCTTCTAAATCACCCGGCTTTGGGGATATTCAGTTTTGAACAACTCAATGGACAAAGACAGGAACATATCATAGAATCGTAGGTGTTCCCTATGTAGGTTCTTTTTAACAGGAATTAAGCAAAGCAGAATTTATCCAAATGCCTACTACAAACCTAAAAGCAGTACTATAAGTAATGAGTACATGTATGTGTGAAGTCGTGTGTTTTATGTATCCTGACTAAGAAGGTCAAAATATCTGTGATCAACCAAATCAGAAGAAAGAATTATCTTTTGTTTTCTCCTTCTTCCTCCTCTTCCTCTTCCTCCTCTCTTTTCCTACCTCCCTTCTCCATTCTCCCATTTTCCTCCTCCTCTTCCCCCTTCACCAGAGGGTTCAGGTACTCACTAGAGATGAACAGTGAGAAATTAATCTCCTTCTGAGGTTAGATGGTAAAATGTCAAATGCTAGTTTTCTGATCATAATGGTTATACGGTGGCTCTGCAGGAGAATGTCCTTCTTCGTAAGAATTATGCACAAAATATTCCAGCATGGTGGCAGGACATGGCACGCATTCTGCAGTGCTGGGAGCCATATGGATGATCAGGGTTTGCTTGTACATGCTGAGTGTGGGTGCACGTGTCCATAATCCTGGCTGGCTGGGGGTTGGTGTAATGGCTATGTCACTAGACTCCCATGTAGTCCAGTGCAGTTTGAATCCTGGACCAGGTGGCTTAAACTCACACTAGGCACATGCAGGTACATGCCCAAGATCCCAAGAGAATAGAGGAGAATGGATTGCAGCATGACCATCCCCCCTGGTTGGTGATTTCTCACTTTCTGTGTGTGTCTCTCTCTCTGTCTTCCTGGCAAGCACACATGCCCTATAGCAAAAACCTCTCCAAAAAAAAAAAAAAAAGAAGAAGAAGAAGAAGGAAAGAAAGAAAGGGGGAAGGAGAGAGGAAGAGAGAGAGAGAAACACA